AGAGAGAGAGAGAGAGAAGGAGGGGAGAGAGAAAGGGACTGGTGGTCGCCGCGCTCCTCCCGCTGCTTCTTCGGCTCCTTCACGATGACTGCTGTGCCCTGGCTATGGCTGGACGACGGCGACCTGGACTGCTGCTGCTGCACAGGAGACGTGGAGGCAAGCATGCGACGGGCAATGCACAGCGGGCGCGCAGGGCACAAAGCTGGACTACCGTGTTCATCCAGGCAGCTAAGGGCAGCACTCCGAATTCAAAACTTGAAAAACAAACTCATTTCAGCTGCCCCCCTATTTTTTTCTTAAGAGGCCCCGCGCGGGCTCAATATATTGTTGTTGTTTTTTTTCGTTTTCGACATCCCAGCCGGGCCTGGAACACCCCTCAGCAACCTTTTGTTTTTTTGCTCGACCCCCTATTTTCGGGGTCCGCCGCACCCCGTGCGCGCGCGTCGTGCACGGTGCGCAGTGTGCGCAGTGCGGCGCGTGAGCTGGGTTTAGCGCATGTCGATGCACCACAAGTATGCGTCTAAGGCTTCGTTTGTTTTTTTTTTTTGCAGTTCGTAACTGCTCTCCGCCCAGGCCTGAAGTGCCCTGTTATTTCCGCTAGTTTGGCACATTTGTCTCGTTTTTTTTTTTTTTTAAAGTCATCCCTCGGGCGGTCATTGATAGATGATGATGGACACCCGCAGCAAAGGCAACAAATGAGAGGCAACAACCCCGAGACTAGGTTTCATGGGAGAATTGATCGATAAGGCCCACTGGAGAACCTTACAGGGATTACAGGCTATCAGATGTAAAAATCTGTGCCCCCCGATTTGGGATAATCTGTAGAAAGCGCCCAGGCCAAAACCTTTTCGGTTTTGAGCGCCTGAAACTCGGCCTTTTGGCAGTACCGGCCCCATGACTTCCATGTGGGGTACTACAGGCCCAAGCGTCCCTCCAAGGGCCCTACCGGATCATGAATCTAACAGCACCAGATTCATTTTGATGTACAAGAGGTCGACACTGGCCCGACAGTGGTACCGCTGAAGTATAGAATGAGCCCCACGTACAGGATTTAGAAAGAGAAGGGCCCTACAGGTTCATGAATCTGGCTCAAAAACAGCACCAAATTCTTGAACCGGTAAAAACAGGTCAAGGGAGATGTGGCCACTGCGCGAGGGCGCCTTTCACCCAGGCTGAAGACGGTTTGGGCTGGTAGTACCAAACGGCCGAGTTTCGGGCGCCCAAAACCGTAAAGGTTTTGGCCTGGGCGCTTTCTACCAATTATCCCCCGAGATTTGGTCCTGATCCCAATTATGAAGCTGACGCTGCAGTTGTGACAGATTCATTTTCCTGTAAAGTCTTCTGCACAAGCGGGCAAAGTTCAGGTGCGAAAAACCAAAAAGGCTTTCTAGTGGATGGTTTCCACCAATTATCCCGAGTTTGATGCGTTCTATGCATATATGGATACGTTAGGGGGAAAGTCACACACGAGATGATGAGGGTTCTCTATGGCCTTTCAAAACAGCTTGCATGCCTTCTTCTTCTTCATCCTCTTCCTTTCTTTTTCTGTTTTATTAAATTTCGGGTTTGTTTAATGTAATAATTTGGACGGTTTCTCGATTTGTGTGTGTCAATGTAACAATTTGGACAATTTCTCTAATTGTGTGTGCCATTCTCCAGGTTGCACGTCTCATCTTCTTTCCTTGGCCGGTTGATGCGGTGCTAATTGTGGTCTGCCTTGCTCAAGCAAAAGATTTGAGTAAAGCATGTAAATAAACAGCTGTTGTACATGGTCTGATGCTGTCGGTGTTTCCAACTTCCAAATTCAGTACCAGTGATGCGGACAGCCTGAAACATGAGCTCTCGGAGAACGGGGACGGAGTTTCTTTTTCCTGAAACTATATCAAGGCAACTCCCGGGGGGGGGAAGAGAGAGAGAGAGAGAGAGAGAGAGAGAGAGAGAGAGAGAGAGAGAGAGAGAGAGAGAGAGAGAGAGAGNGAGAGAGAGAGAGAGAGAGAGAGAGAGAGAGAGAGAGAGAGAGAGAGCAAAGTCGATGGGCTCGGAGCTGCCTTTGACAGTCTAGCCAGCCGGCAAGCGTGAAGGTGTCAGGTGTACCAGACAGTCGGACAAGCAATCATCAGGCCAAAGATCGCGGTCCTGTACCCAGTGTAGCAGTCATCAAGGCCAATGGCTGATGTAGATGACAACCCACTGTTGGTTGATGATAGTAAAAGATATGCCATGGAAGACAATCCGGTGATAGGCATTGATCTGGGCACTTCCAATTGCTGTGTTGCTGTGTTTCGTAATGTCGACGACATTGAGATAGTTCCGAATGACCTCGGCCACAGGATTACACCATCATTTGTGGCCTTTGCTGGGCAGGAGAATTGTGTGGTAGGAGATGTTGCGACGAAGCACCGCGTGAAGCACCCGGAGCAGTGCATATTCGAGGTGAAGCGGCTGATGGGGCGATCACTCGGCGATGCAACCATCCAGCAGGACGCAAAGAGGTGGCCCTTCCACTTGTCCGCGGGTCCACGTGGCGAAGTTGTCGTGGATGTCCCCAACATGGCATCAGGATGCAAAACTCATTTCCTACCAGAAGATATTTCCGCCTTGTTGCTGAAGAAGTTGAAGTCTATCGCAGAGGACTTCACCGGCCATCCTATCAGGGATGCAGTCATCAGCATACCTGCGTACTTCGATCACAGCCAGAGGAAGGCGACAATGGCTGCTGGCGTCAGTGCGGGACTAAACGTGCTGCGGTTGATGAGCGAACCAACGGCAGCTGCGCTGGCTTACGGCCATCAGCGGGTGATAGGGAGGGGGGCTATGGGGAGGAGGCTCCTGATATTTGACCTGGGTGGGGGAACCTTTGATGTGTCCATTGTCACGGTGAAGGACGGACCAGATGAGGACAGCTGCTTCGTAGTGGAGGCAGTGGGGGGAGATTCCCATCTGGGAGGGGTGGACATAGACCAACGTCTGTTTCAGCACATTGCGGAGAAGATTCGGAATCAGCCGACATGGGACCATGTCCTGCGCAAACCAAGGTTTCGGACAAAGCTTGATGAAGCCATCGTGGTTGCCAAGCATGCTCTGTCGGTCGAAACGGAGACAGAGATCTGCCTGGACTACGGTGAAGAGGACCTGAGCTTGACGTTGGGGCGCGCCCAGTTCGAGGCACTCAATGAAGACCTGTTTGACAGGTGCATGACCATCGTCCAACAAGCTCTGACTGATGCTGGCATCAGCAAGGGTGCGATCTCAGACGTGATCCTTGTGGGCGGGTCGACGAGGATACCAAAGGTGCGAGAGATGCTGAAGGCATTCTTTGGCAAGGAGCCCTTGAGGTTGATCAACGCTGATGAGGCTGTGGCATTTGGAGCTGCCGTACAGGCCGGCTTGCTTGCAAGGAGCAACAAGTGCACAGAGGCAGAGGCGAGCGTTTCCGTACGGGACGTGACAGCGCTAAGCATTGGCCTCGGCGTAGGGCTTGGTGTGATGAATGTCATTGTCCCCAGGAACTCTCCTCTTCCAGCCAGTAAGCACAAGGCATGTTATTTAATAGTAACGAACGACTCGCTGACTTGCAGTTTCTCTTTTTATGAAGGTGAACGAGCTCTGTGCATGCACAACCGGTTGGTCGGACAGATGTCTCTAAAGGGTCTAAATCCTGGCTCGGCGACGGACATTCTCATCTTTGATGTTAAGCTCAGGTTAGATACCCACGGGATTGTCCATGCGGAAGCAGAGCTGTGGGGACGGGTTGCTGCTCACAGTTGGTGCAATTTGACAGCAGAGGAGACATTCCACGAGGCTAGAAGGCATAGAGAGGCCGGGAGAAAGGTGGAAGGCGCGTTTAGACTTGATATGGATGTTGTGCACACTTCGGCCAATGGGACAAAAACAACAGGTCACTACACGCCAGAAGCAAAAGCGGAGGATGCCAGGATGTGGGCCGCTATGGCATCGAGGATGAATCTTGGGGATATTCTTACACGATGGAAATATAATTTCTGGTTCAAGAACGAGTCCACCCATATACTGAAGCATGTGAACGAGCTCTTGGCCTGGCTTGTTGGGCAGCAGGAACTAGCATCGAAGGATGAATACCAGAAAAAATATCAGCAGCTCATTGGGAAATACCATTTCTTCCTGCGGTCCAAATTTGTTGCAAAGTTATTCATAGGCGATTCTGTTGTGAATATCTGTTCCCAAGAAACAGCTGATTTGTTAAAAGAGTACCCTTATATCTTTCCCTCAAACAGACCTATATGAGGTTCCCCCCTCCCCCCCCCTCCTCTTTCCCCCTTGTTTTCTTTTTTTTCTAAATAAAGTTTTGTCATTCCAATAGGGTCCCTTGTCCAATACTGTCAATTAGCAGTACGAGCATGAAAGAAACATTCTAGATTCCTAGAGGGGCCATATGACAACTGAAACGAAAGGGGATATCCTACCCCTTAAGCGGCATTGGCTGCGAGGGGGAGGATGGTGGTCCGCTGTGCGCCGAAACCCGGTGTGAAAATGCGTGTGGGCCATCAGATGGGGTGGATCTATGGCCAGGGTGCGCGCAGAGCCGGTTTTCGACCAGTTTGTTCACAGCACGCCAGTTAACGTGGTGAGAGCAGCCATGCGCGTGGTATGCGATGAGCGTCAATGGACGGGAATATCTCGCAAGTGGAACCGCCCGATAGCTGGCGGCTGTCGTTTTCTAGTGGCCGCCTTTTTTTTTTTGGTTTTCCCACCCGTCGTTTTGTGCCCCACATATGGTCCCCCTTTTGCTTTCCATTGTGCGTTCGGGCGGTTTATTTTCTTGTGCGTCGTTTTGTGTGAAAAAGAAGGGGAAAACACCCTTCTTGCTGGGTGGTTCGTATTTCGGTGTGCCGTTTTTGCAGAAAAGAAGAGGCCCACACCGCGCACGCTCATCTGCCCACCCACATGCATCTGCCCACCCACATGCACGCACGCGCGCTAGCTCCCCTGCCCGCCCACCTACCCGCACACACACACACACACACACTAATATTTTGAAGTTTGCTGCTAACTGTTGTGGTTAAGGTTTGAATCCAAGCACAGATTTGAGAAACCTAACTGCTGAGATGATTTTGGGGACCATTTCCTTTTTAAGTGTATCCTGTGTCAGGCAGCTGGCATGTCAGGGGGCAAGGTCCCACTTGTGCAAATTAGGAGACTTGGGCCGTTGATCTTTGCTATCTACGGTCAGTAGCCCAGGATGTGTCTGTGGGTCCAGACCCTAACCTTGTAGAATGTGGAAAAACCGGCTGAATGGCAGAGTCGGAATATGTGTCGAATTGCTGCCGTGACGCATTTTGCAGCCAAAACGATTTTTATTTTTAATTTTGTAGTATTTTCCTGGAAAGATAACAACGATATATATGGACTCCGAAATTTTTATATTATTTCTTATATTCTTCCGAGCTAAAAAAATCACGGAAGATGCAGTACTTTTCTGTTGGCTGGCACATGGCATAGTCACTATGGCAAAAATGGAAAAAGTGCCAAATTCACGCGGTGACTATTTCACGGTCGAAATGATTTTTTATTTTTTGTTAAATATTTTTACTGAAAAGATCAAAACGAAATAGATGGGCCCTACAATTTTCATATTTTTTCATGCATTCTTTTGAATGCGAAACAACAGTGAAGTTGCAATGCCGTTTCCCTTGGCCGGCACATTGCAAAGTGGCAAAAATTATAAATGTGCCGAAATGGCGTGGCAATTATTTCACGGTCAAAATAAAATTTCAAGATTTTGTGGAAATTTTTTTGAGGAGATCACAACCCGTCATCAACAGGATTGCACTGTTTCTGTGTGTCGTGTGCATTATTTTGAGCGTCGAAAATCACCGAAGTTGCCACATAAAACTATTTTTTGCTGACTGTATCTCGCCTCTATGTAATACTCAAGTCCCTGACCCTAGGCCAGATTCAGGTTCAGGATGCAGGCCCATACCCATGCCTAGCCCCGGGTCCAGGATTCAGGCCCTTCTTTTTCGTTGACTTTTTGGAAACCTCGATGCCGAGGTCCAAACCCAAGATTCTCGCGCAAAACCCCGTTTCAAGTCCTAACCTTTTTTTTTCCCGGAATTGTCGAGCAGTTGAATAACATACACATAGGTAAGAGTGAGATAAAGAACAACCATTCTGAAGGACCAGACATTCTGAAGCACCCACACATGGATACCCATAAAACACAACTGATGGCTTAAACCACCAGTACCTCCTAAAGTCGTGCCCATAAACAAGCCCCGGCCACTACATGAACTCTCAATTCATCAGCCTACTCAATTTTTATTTTTTCCGCAGCCCATACTAGCTGGGCCAAGTAGTGGCTATTGAATGACTAATCAATAAAAACGAAGCCATAAAACTTGGGATAATTGGTAGAAAGAGCCCACGCCAAAACCTTTTCGGTTTTGGCCGGCCAGTTTGGTACTACCGGCCCAAACAACTTTCCCCTGGGTGAAAGGCGCCTTGGCGCGTGGCCACATCTCCCTGCGCCTGTTTTTACCGGTTCAAGAATTTGGCGCTTTTTCTGCGCCATATTCATGAACCGGTAGGGCCCTTCTTTTTCAAAATTGCGTACGTGGGCCTCATTGGATACTTGAGCGGTACCACCGCTGGCCTCTTTTACATGAAAATGAATCTGGCTCTGTTATGCGCCAGATGCATGATCCGGTACGGCCCTTGGGCCTGTAGTACCCCACATGCTGCAAGTCATTGGGCCGGTAGTACCAAACGGCTAAACTTTGGGCGGTCAAAATCGAAAAGGTTTTGGCGTGGGCGCCTTCTACCGATTATCCCATAAAACTTGGACCAAAATGGGCGTTGTGCCCGTAGTCGTAGAAACCATATCGGGAATTGGCATAAACCTTACTATAGTTTCATCCGCTGGCCAGACTTGGAATTGTCATCTGCGTATCCTTCGTGGTCATGACCGCGGGATGAAACTCGGATTGCGGTCGGGATCCCGACAGCCGGCCACGGCCCGAGCGGGTCAGGCATGGCCGATAATTTGTTTTAAAAAACAATAATAATAGACAAAAAAAAAACAGGGGTTGTAGGGTTTGAAAAGCCCAATAACCCTATTTTTTTTTGTTTTGGATTTAGAAGTGTTTTTTTTTTTTTTTTTTTAAATAGAAAACGAAAAAAACAAGCATTCGAATCAAAGGAAATCTAGGCTACCACCCGGGCGGGTCAGGCACAGCCGATAATATGTCATATTTTGAAAAATAATAATAATAGACAAAAAAAAAACAGGGGTTGTAAGGTTTGAAAAGCCCTCTATATATATATATATATATATATATATATATATATAGATATATATATCTATCCTACCTCTTAAGCAGCATTGGCCGCGGGGGGAGGTCGATGGTCCGCTCTGTGCCGGACTTGGGGGTGAAGTTTTGCTGCGGGCCGGCGGATGGAGGCGATCGAGGGCGGGGGGCCGGGCAGGGTGGCGCGCGTACCGAAATGTTCACAGCGCACCAAAAAACGAGAGAGCGAGCCCAAGGGGCGGAGCGGAAACGGGCGTCGATGCGAGGGAATATCTCAAAGCGCCCGCCGTCGATAGCAAGAAAGTGTCGTTTTGTGTTTTTTCCCTTTTCTAATTCTGTTTTTTCGGTTGTTTTTTTTTCCCCTTAGGGACGCGTTTTTCTTATTCTCTTTTCTTTATTCGTTTTCGTCGTTATCTTTTCGTTTTCGCAAGTTTCATTTTATTCATCGTCTTGGCGCCAAGTTTCTCCGGCGTCGGCGCCGACAAAAGGAAGCGGGGCGGCGGGTAGTGACCCAACCCTCAGACCCCCACCCCCGCTACCCCCGACACCCCGACCCCAACCCCACACAGCGGGTGCGTTCCACCCCGCACCCCCGCACCCCGACCCCGGCCCCACACACACACATACACACACACAACACACACAATGCACACGACACGCATGCACGCACACACACACACACACACATTAATATTTTGAAGTTCGCTATCAATGGTTGTTGTTGGGGTTTGAACCCACGCACAGATTTGAAATACGCAACTGCCCTAACCACACATGTGAATTGGGTCCCTGTGTGGTTTTGGGGACTGCTTCTTTATGAAGTGTATTCGATGTCAGGCAACTGACAGGTCAAAATGTGCCTATGTGTCCAAACCCTAACATTGCACAGTGTGGCAGGTGGGTCCAGTCCCGCAATTTTCAAGCATCAAATTTTTCGATATTCGTGCTCAGACAAATTGAAGAAAAACTCTGAAAATTTGAGATCCCGTAGATTAGGTTGTGATCTTTCTAGGAAAACAAAAAAAAAAAAAAAAAAAAAATTAGACCCTGAAATAAATGTCGCGCCGTTTAGTTGCACTGTCCATTTTTGTCATTCTTGCACGTGTTGGCCAACCGGAAACGTACCCCAACTTCCGCGATTTTTTGCTCTCAGAAGGATATCTCCACAACTCTGAAAATTGATAGGGCTGTAGATTGGGTCGTGATCTTTCTATGAAAAATATTTAAAATTTAAAAAAAAAATATTTAAGATCGTGAAATAAACGCCGCGCCAATTCGTCCTATATTCATTTTTTGGGGTCTTTTGCTGCTGTATCATGTGACGGCCAACGGGAAAAGTACCCCAACTTCCGCGATTTTTCACGCTCAGAAGGATGACTTCACAACTCTGAAAATTGATAGGTCTGTAGACTGGGTTGTGATCTTTCTATGAAAAATATTTTAAAAAACTTAAAAAGTATGTAAGATCGTGAATGTCGCGCCAATTTGTCCTATGTTCTTTTGTTGGTTTTTCTTCCCCTTCTAAGTTTGTCGTTTCCCGCTGCCACGGCCTTTTGTTTTCTTCTGTTTTAGTCATTTCCTGCTTTCATGGGTTTTTTTTTGTTTTTTTTTCCTATCGCGGGCTCTTTTTAATTTTGTTGGAAACCTTTTTTTCCCCTTTGTTTTTGTCGGTTTTTTTTTTTTTTTTTTTTTTTTTTTAAAGAGGCTCCGCTCTTTATTATACTGAACCAGAAACAGGGCCGGGAATTCCCCACATGCAACCCTGAAACAAAACAGATAATACAAGGACTATTGCCAAACTTTGGGTGCAGGCATTCCCTGTCGCGGCCTTTTTTTTTTTTTTATGTTGTTGGAAACCAAGCGTTCGTCGTTCCCCTGGCTTTTGTTTTGTTGGGTTTTTGGACGTTCGTCGTTCCACTTCCTCTCAGTTTTGTCACTTTCGGCAAAACGCATGGGGCGGGTGCACGCGCACGCCTGCGCGGCACCCAACCACTCATCGACCTTGCCCGACTGCCCGCCCACTCATACCCAACAACCCAACCCGGCCGC